AACATTGGAATGATCCAAACGTATTAGTTGAGAGATTAAAGTTGTTACTGGAGTTACAACAATCTGGGCATAATGATTATACTAATGAGTTAGTTTCTATTATTGAAGAACTACGGGAAGCAGACATAATATATTAAATACTATATTAAATCTAATTCGTCAATTCTAACACATACTATATAATAATTGATAAAGACAACCCTTTGTAATTCATCTATAAAATTCAAATAACTTGAAGAATACATCGCATAAAATTGTATACCTGATAATTGGCATATTAGCATATAAAAATATGTATTTTGTAGACCTTTAAGTATTTTATGATGTACAATTATCATATAATTACATGCTATGTATAGCCAAACTTATTTTTTAATTAGGACTTGTGGATTTTATTTATGTACAAAAATTATGTGTAAAAGTACATATCACAAAATTATAACACGACTATCAGAATGTTACATTATATTTATTATAAATAATATTAATAAAATACGAGTATGTTCAAAAAATAATAACACGATACTTGTTAATTCATATACAAGACAAATTGTAAATGAGTAATTTATAATGCGACTAAAGGAACCTATGGCAAACATGTACCCGATAACGCACCTAAACGAAACCCACACCAAACCCAAATGAACCCAATTTCACGTTATAACAACCAACCAAAACCCATTGAACCCAAACTACGCCAACGGTTTTTGACAGTTTTACGTTCATAATATTAATTATGAACATGGAATGGGTTTTTATATAATAATTCTATAAACGCAAGTTTAAATTACAGCTGATGATTTTTATTTTAATTTATAATGAATATTAATAGGCATTAAAATTATAAATAATTTTTTGGCTTATTAGGTGCAATTCCTATGAAAACATTGAAATTGCTACCTAAGAAAGCGAGAAAACAAAAAATTATATTTGTCGCATATATGTTTGATACATTTTTATTTACCCCTAAAGTATGCACCCAATGTCTGCAGTGATAATCCTTTGCTCTATATTAGTTTATACATTAGATGTTTCTTATAGGAAATAATTAATACATATATGAGGTTTTCCTTTATCATCTTCTACGCAAAATCCTTTTCATAAGCATTACATTCCACAATTTTACTTTTAGTAAATGATTAGAAAGAAATATGTGAATATATAAATTTTAGAGTCATCCGATCACAATGCATAGAATTCCGTCCAATGAAAGTTTAAACTTAAAAAAAACCAAATAAAATCGCAAGGGGACAAAATTCTCAATAGTATGCAGGACTATATATTTAAATAGGCAACTACGAATATTGCTTCGTGCTTCCGTTTTTGTCGTTTTTTAAATTTTTTTCTCAAATAATGAAAACTCATTTTAACAAAGTCTTGCCACCAAATTTTTTCTTCTTTGTTCAAATTAAATTAACAATAAAGAGGACAAAATACGAAAATATATAACGTACAAAATGTAGTTTATTGTACATTTACTTTGTACGGAATTTCGTTAACAGTGGGTTTAAATTGTCAATTCCATTGCATATATGTCAAATAAATGCTCATATATATCATACCACATATTAAAAATAATATATATAATATATATATATATATATATATATATTCCTTTTCAACTAAATAATTTGTGAGGATGAGGCCGGGTAACCACTGTTTAATACCCAATCATCATTTTTCTACACATCGAAAAATTATGTAAACTAATTTCTTACAATTCTTGTATATCACAATATATAAAAGTGTACATTTTGTGTACATTTTCATAGTCCATGATACTAAAAAATATCATGGACGATGAAATTTCGCACAGCGTATTCACTTTTGTTCACTTTGTTAGTCTCTGACCTCTTTTTGGTTTTACAGAAAGTACTTCTACACAGTAAAAAACTCTCTTATTTCCATAACATAATTCTCAAACACAGATTCCTTTAATATTAGAGTTAATCCTCGTTATCTACAGGCTGAGCCATTTGCTATACATATTTAATAAGTGGGTCTGCTAACCCAACATAAACCAAAGACATAAAAGTATAAATATACGGCAACTCATACGTCGACAAACTGCAATAGATGGCGTTTTTTCTGTTGTTATGATATATCAGCGAACAATGTTAAGCGTTTTAACCACAACATCGCAAGCATATAAAATGCAAATTTATATTTTAAGTGCAAATCTCTGATTTATTTAAGTGCAAATTTATATTTTAAGTGCAAATCTCTGATTTGAATCTCCCTACATGTGTTTTCATAAACTATTTTTTCAAGTCTTTTATGGTTTCTTTGTCTTTGCACAAACATTTAAATTTATTAAAAGTTTCCCTGAATATAGGAAAATATATATTTCCCTTTTCATCTTAATCCGTTTTCCGTTTCGTTTTCCTTTTAATATTTCAGTTGTTTAATTGCATTGCTGCTAATCTTGGTGTTACCTAAAGTTCATTGACACATTAAAAATAGATGAAAAGAGGAGTGGAGCTAAACACATTATGCTCTTTTCCTCTTGAAACCAAACATTCCGAATGTCGATTGTCAATTTGTTCCTGCCTCTTCCCCATGCCCTTCGTGTCATAGCTCCATAAGAGTGCTAAATTCATAATGTTGTGGTTCGGTTTTGGCATTCATCAGTCTCTAAAATCATACTGACTGACCATTTTATCGATGCATGCATGTTGTTGTTGTTCCCTATTATCCGTAAAGATTGTTTGCCATATTTGTCCCCCTTTCCCCTGTAAATGTTTCGGTTAGCTCCACGCATGCCCAACATCCAAAGATGCTCGATTTAACATAAACACATTGGTATTAATATAAACATGAGTATCGTCAAACGAGGAGCGTACATATTCCTCTCCCCTTTTCCTCTTGTACCCAAACATTTCGTAAACACATATTTGTTCCTGCCTCTTCCCTTTTCACTCATTGTCATAGTTGCTTAAGATTGGGAAATTCATTATGCTGTGTCACATATTTGTGCCCAATAGTTCTTATCAACAAGTGTTGGGCGTACATATCCCCCTCCCCCTTTCCTCTTGTATCCTACAATTGATGCAGGCATGTTGTTGTTGCACCCTATAACCCATATATATTGCTTTGAATATATGTTGTTGTTATTCCCTATAGTTTGTTCCACATATCTGTTCCCCCTTCCCCTTGCCACATATTTGCCACCCTTTCCACGCATGCCCAACACTCAACAATGCTCGATTTAACATAAACACATTGGTATTGATACGATCAGAAATAAACATAACTGCGTCTGTCTCTTCATGCCTCTGACCATTTCTATCGCTGACCATGTTGTTGTATGTTTTTCCCTATAGTCCGTATAGTTTGTTTCCCATATTTGTCCCCCCTTTCCCCTTGCCACATATTTGCCGCCCTTTCCACGCATGCCCAACACTCAACGACACTCGATTTAACATAAACACATTGGTATTAATATGATCAGAAATAAACATCAAACTCAAAGCTAGGGCGTACATATTCCTCTCCCTGTTTCCTTTTGCATCCAAACATTTCGCAAACACATATTTGTTCCTGCCTCTTCCCTTTTCACTCCTAATCACAGTTGCATAACATTGCGAAATTCATTATGCTTTTTATAGTTTGTTTCCCATATTTGTCGCCCCTTTCCCCTTGTCACATATTTGCCGCCCTTTCCACGCATGCCCAACAGTCAACGACACTCGATTTAACATATACACATTGGTATTGATATGATCAGAAATAAACATAACTGCGTCTATCTCTTCATGCCACTGACCATTTCTATCGCTGACCATGTTGTTGTATGTTTTTCCCTATAGTCCGTATAGTTTGTTTCCCATATTTGTCCCCCCCCCTTTCCCCTTGCCACATATTTGCCGCCCTTTCCACGCATGCCCAACAGTCAACGACACTCGATTTAACATAAACACATTGGTATTGATATGATCAGAAATAAACATAACTGCGTCTATCTCTTCATGCCTCTGACCATTTCTATCGCTGACCATGTTGTTGTATGTTTTTCCCTATAGTTTGTTCCACATATCTGTTCCCCCTTCCCCTTGCCACATATTTGCCACCCTTTCCACGCATGCCCAACACTCAACAATGCTCGATTTAACATAAACACATTGGTATTGATACGATCAGAAATAAACATAACTGCGTCTGTCTCTTCATGCCCCTGACCATTTCTATCGCTAACCATGCTGTTGTTGTTGTTATTCCCTATATTTTGTTCCACATATCTGTTCCCCCTTCCCCTTGTAAACATTTCGGTAAGCTCCGCGCATGCCCACATAGTTTGCCATCCCTAATATTCTTAAACCGAACGGACACACACACACACACGCACACACATTGCCATACTCAAGGTCAAGAGCGCGCCCACACACGTCGATCAACACAGTTTGGGAACGGAGACACACACACAAACACATACTTTGCCATACTCAGAACGGAGGATCACACACACACACACGCACATACATAAATTGCCATACTCAGAACGGAGGATCACACACACACACTATTTGTAAACAAAAGCGCACGTGTTCACACATACACGGACGGACAGACGATTTGTTTACTGTAATTTGATACTTTAATGAGTTTTTGACCATTTTAATGACTTTTGGCTAATCCTTTGTATGTTAAACCATACATCCTTATTCTACTGACATCGTTTATAACGACATATCGGCTATAACGACGAAATCCAAAAGTACCGAATTTCGGCCCTACATTGTTCCTAATTCTTTAATTTCTACGAAATACACATTTTGCATTCTTTCTATCAAAACAGCAAAATATATATCTAAACATTACTATAAATAGCATGAATCATCCAAATTTTATTAATAGCATTTATAAGTACCAAATTCGCCGGTCCCTTATAAGCGATTACGACTGTAGATTTGAAATTAGTCATACTTCGATGTATACATATATCCATACATATGTGAAGTGTCAATACATATTATATACAAATCAAATTTGTGTATTCTTACTTCCAAATCATTCTGTAAATCTTTCGTTGCCCAAATATTTATTTTAGGTATATTATTGTTGTTATTTTTGGGTTCATATTTATCCAACGTAGTCATCACAAAGCCAAAGGTAAATGTAGACATTGGTGGAGTGATTTCAAAATAATCCAGGACATAATCCGAATCAGCTTTCCTGTAAGTAGAACAATGAAACGAAACAAATTAATACTTACAAATCTATATATACAGTGACGAGCAGAAATGAGTACATGTTTGTACAGTGGACACTTTTTACGCCATAAAAATATAAAAGCAAATTGAAAAATGTTGGTTGTTTTTTATAACGTATTTTGTACCTAACAAATCAACCTAAAGTTAAAGAATTTAACTCTTTAATTTCTAAGGAAAAAACAGAGAAAAGTAAATCAACTCCAATGTACTCACTTTAGCACTTTTGAACAAATTTGCAGAATTCGAATGTTTGTATTAATTATACCGTAGTTTTATATTTTTAATGTATGATTTATGAAATTTGGCATATTTTCAACCAATTTTAGTACAATTTCATTGGAATTATTCTTCCAAAAGTCGACTTTTAAACTTTTCGATTTTCGCCACAGACCAAAAAGTAGATTTTTAGACTTTTAAATTTTTGCCTTTGACTAAAAAGTCGACTTTTCGATTTTGTCAAACCTGTTCAAAATCGATTATCGACTTTTACCAACTAAAGCAAAATCGACTAAAAATTTAATTATTTATAGGAATTGTTGTCAACAGATGAAATAATGTGCTGGAATGTGTAGTTTTTGGGCAATTTCGGCTTTGTGATAATAAACCAAGTATTTATGAAGAAAATTGAAAATCGATCTTAAATAGTCGACTTTACGATTTTCTCAAAGATCAAAAGTCGACTTCGACTTTTTGACTTTTCAATACAAAGAGTCGAATAATCGATTAGTCGAAAGTCGATTTACTTATCTCTACTCAGATCCACTGTCAAAGTTCGTCTAAATTATTAGGGGCTGATTGGTACTGTCTCACCTCTCTTTCTGCGATTGGCCCCAAATTATCGTTCGGATTGACGTCGAAACTTTGTCCTGACCACAGTGTTAATTCAAAATTTTGCTCACGAAGAAATTCTCTCACGAATTTTGACGTATATCTTTGATCACCGTCATGCACATAATAACTTCTTCTACAGAATAGGCGTACTTAGCTACCTAAACTGACTGATATGATTTTCAATGATCTAAATGGACTTCTTTCATTATTATATTGTCAATTTTTTAACATCGGTCCAGGGCCCAAAATTAAAGCCTACGCATACCATGGCAATACCTTAACCGTGTTTCACATTGGGCCTTTGAATTATTTTTCATCACCAAAAATGCTTATCGTCGGATTGAAAACGGTTGAATTTGGATTCGTCGGACCCGATCACACGTTTCCAGTCGACCACAGTTCAACTTTTGGTCTAGTTAAAAAGTCCTTACCCTTATTTTGCAGTTTTTACCTATAATACAGGTTTTTAGTCTTTTTTAATGCTGTTATATTCCATGTCGGGAAGGGCTCTTCACACCGTTCAATGACTAACAGGTTTGACGAGTACTTACGAAGCCTATTTTGGTGTTAAAACTTATCAAATTACATTTCCCTTATCATTAGACGTTGGTCCACACAACTTATAAGCGGCGTACGACCTCTAATTTCAGGTTTGGTAACAACGGAACACCGTTTTTGTACCTATATGACCAATAATTGACACAATTTAAGTCCCTTTGCAATTTTCAGGGTAGAACAGATTTTTCAGCTTTTTCCGAATGGCCTCTTCAGTGGTTATTATATATATTTCTTATTGATTTATTATTATTAGTTATTTATTTGATTTTTGTTCAAAACCTTGTAAATTTTTTAGTAAACGGGATTTAAATGATGTAAAACTTATATATTTTCTTAAAAAACTAATGAAAACCAAAAAACAGATTAAAAAACGTGATTTTACATTCCTTTTCTGCACATTATTAAAAAATTGCAGTCGTACAAAAGTGAGTACATTGGGATTGATCTCGTTTTCTTTATTTTTTCTTAGTCATTTTAAAGAGTTAGATTTTTAAATTTAGGTTGTTTTGTTAAGTACAAAATACCCAATAAAATGCAACCAACATTTTTGAATTAGCTTTTTTAGTTTTATTTTTATGACGTAGAAAGTGTCCAAACATGTACTCGTTTCTGCTCGCCACTGTACATGGTATAATTATTTCAAGGTATAGTATAGCTACTAGCTAATTTTAATATATATATATATATATATGTAATATATAGATAAAAGATTTATTGCAATAATACAAAACGATTTGAGCAGACGGACAGACACATTAAGCATTAATTGGCGGTTCCGCCAAATTGACACTCCCAAAGTAAATCAATCATGGAGATAGAAATAAAATACGTAAATGTATAATTTATAAATACTTACAGTTCTTCGGTCCGAAGTAGAGGGGTATTAAATAGGGTGATATAGTTCCTTGGCCTCGAAATAGATACATTGAATGGAACCTATTAACGATTATATTACTGGTTTTATTACGACGGGTCATAATGTTCAATTTTCAACAATAAATCAACTACAATAGTAAAGACAAGTAATCTGGTATATGATGCTCACTGTTGTTTAATCCTTGTGTGAAAATTATATATTTATATTTTAAATTAATTATGCAAGTATGCACAGTAAAACATACCTTGAATCCAGGTTCATCTAAGCAGGGAAATAGTCTGCGAGCATTATTCGGCCTCATAAAAGTAGCCAGATAAAAATGTTCTCTTTTATCTGAAGTGATGTATGAACCTTTGAACATGCCATCGTTAGTATTCCAAATTCCGCCTTCAAAGTCCATGCTTAATTCACAGTGAGGACATTCCTTTAAGGTATCCTTCAGATAGACAACAAATACAGTTTTCTTTGGCAAGCGATCGCCCCGAAGTATTGGTATGTTCTCAAACGTTGGATCGCTACTGCTTATAAAAGAAACACAGTAAATTGGCGAAAAATGAAAATTTCAATAAATTACCTTACCCATTATTCGAAGTTATTTTGGAGAGCCGTATAGATCGCTCTATTATTTGTAAATCATAGTGTGCATGTAAAGAAATTTTTCGGGTAGGTACGCCCCAACGTAAGTTAATTTTTACATGTCCCGAAAACGAATTATCGTCAATATTGGGACGCAAATCTATTTCATACCCATATGGTGTTATATCTTCTGATAGGCGTGCATCGGGGATAAGGGCATATGATGCCGACAAGTTAATGCTACGTTTTATTTTTATCTAAAATAAATATGTATTAATATATACACACATGGTTAAAATAAAAAGTACACGTGTATACACCTAAGTCTGTTTTTACACGGTAGATTGGTTCCAGAAGGAGCCGTGTAAAAAAAGACATTGATCTTATACATAAAGGGAATTCCCCTAAATTAGTGCTATTCACATTTGCTTTGACCAGTAAAAATTGTTTGTACGCGCTAAAGGGGAATTCACTTAAATCTTTAAGCTAGTGTTCGCAAACTATCGATACTATTGATGGTTTCAGACTTTTTTCTTTCAAATAAATACTTTTTTTGTGATATGAACATACTTCGCAAAAATTAAATTTGACAAAAAAAAAGAAGTACATAAAATTTCAAATCGTGCTAAATGGAATAAAATCGTCTACAAAAATTAAAAATATTCAATTTTCAAACCGTGTTATATCAAAACCGTGTACAAAAAGACCGTGTAAAAACAGACTTAGGTGTACTTGTTCTGTGAATTTAAACCTTCAAATAAATATATGCTAATTTTAAAAATGGTCGAAATTAAAATTTGAGAATGGTTGCGGACTTCAAAGGCAGTTTTTTTGGCAGGTGCAATGAAGTAGTTGCAGAGCGATCCATTGCTACCATAGACAAATGAAGTGACTCAAACCAAAACAAAAATCAATGACAGTTTGTGGCAAAAGTAGAACAATTTTATTTAATATATTTCTTACTAAGATTAATATATTTATCCTAGATTTTATAAATTTTGTTAACAATATTTGTTATTTTCCACCTTTACAAGTTTATAAATTCGATTTAACCCTACGGTCAATAACCGGGTACATCTGTACCTTTTTTTGAATACAAATGCTGAAAAATGTTTAATAATGGATAAAAATGTTTAATAATAGATAATGGAAACATTGGTATACTGTCATTACAAAAAGATACATAGATAGAAAATATTTTCTTCCAGAACATGCAATGTAGTGTTTTTTTTTCAAATTCTTTCATAAGTTTTTGCAAAATAGTCAGGCTTAATCCCAGTTTGTTGTTTTTATAAAAAACAACTATTTATTAGTGGGGAATGTATGGCATTGTCCGCCGAGGGGTAAGGCAGGGAAGACTATAGTTTCACTACTGAAGTTGTAGACGAGGCACGGTCATACTGTTTGGTTTATTGCTTTAACTAGCAATACTAACAACAACGTTACAACAACGCATTCGTCACAAAGTGACGACACATAGCAGTGGGAAATGTATTGTAGTTGTCTGTAAATGCCTTGTTGACCACGAAGTCAGGCGCCAACGAAACGAACTTCTCATTGGGGTCGTATCGCTGGTAACGTAAGAACTTCGAATTGTCACAAGAGACATTTGGGTTTGAAAGATTTTTTGTAAAGAAGCTATTAATAGCTTCTGGGGAGAATATCCCAACAAAAAACTAAGGGAACTGATGAGGATCACTGGCGAGATCCGAAGCTATAGTCTTCCCTGCCTTACCCCTCGGCGGACAACGCCGTACATTCCCCACTAATAAATAGTTGTTTTTTATAAAAACAACAAACTGGGATTAAGCCTGACTATTTTGCAAAAACAAAATACAAATGGTATCCCAAATAACCCGCCAAACACTACATTCTTTCATAAGTTTGATTGGAATTGTTATCCATTAGGTCACACATGCATAAAAATATTTCATTTAAAAAATGGTGGTTTGCAACAAAAAAATAATTAATTTTCCTTAAAGTATGCTACAAAATATGTTACAATTCAAAATAGTTGCCTACCAAAAATATGGCAGCTGAATGAAAATTGAGATACATTCATAATGAATATTCAATTTAAAACGAGACTTTTATGAAAATATTGATAGAAAATTTGCCACAGTAAATATGAATATGAATTTCGAGCTAATCTAGATATTGAGTAGTTTAAATTTTGTATGTTAAAACGAGCTCACGACAAATTTGTAGTCTACTAAACTCGCTTGAAGTTTCTATTGTAAATTTAGTTCGATTTACAATTAAATCGAGATAACGCACAGTATTACTATGAGAGTTATAGTATATTTAACACTACAATCAATAACCCGGCACATTTGTACCTTTTTTTGATAAAACATGCTGTAAAATTTTCAATATTGGAGATATTTGAGTAATGACACTTGAGGTGTTTTTTCTTATAATAATTGAAAAAATAATATATATGTCCATTAATATTAAATTTAATAAATTAATAATAATTATTTTAATAAATATATATATATATATATATATATATTTTCAAATAAATTGCAGTAAAGTAAATAATCACTCGATGTTTTAATTATGTGGCCAGCTCAAAGTCGATGTTTTTCACGAAAACCGTTATTTATGGAAAAATTGCATGCAATATTTGTCTATCTTCACACTAAATCTCTATAGTACACTACATCTAATTGTTTTGGAATAAAAATATACAAATAAAAAGAGAGCTGATCAAAATAATGTATACATCTATATCATTTATATCATCTATCTCAGATCTGTATAGACTAATTTAAAAAAAAACCGCATGATTGTCCAATTTTTAAATGAGCTACAGGACTATATTGATCCATATATAATTATTTTGGTTATTGGCCATATGGTTAAGCCAATAACCAAAAAAAAGCATGCTTACCGCATATCCATGGTATATTGATCCATATAGGATCAATAAGGTTAATATACTGATTTTCATCGTATTCCAATATCTGAAATAAAAGTACGTATATGTGAATATTAAAAACATTAAAATTTATAATTTGAAAAATTGGTAAACATTAGGGTTATGACTTTTTTACAACATCGTATCCCTATATAATACTTTGATGAGTTTTTACCAAAGATTAGACAAATTCTTAATGGTTGTGCTTTATGAAAAAAAATTTTCACACTCACAATCATTTAAAATATTTTTGTACGTAAGCGAATTTCTAAAAAATTTTGAAAATTGTTTGAGTCACTGTGAGCTAAATATTCCAACGAGTCGTAAAAAATATTAAACTTCCCCACTACGGAAAAAATGTTTTGTTCGACCGTACTACCCTAGTACACGGAATCCATTCATCTCAAACTAACAAAAAAACGAGGAATAAAATTAAAAACTTAAGAAGTAAAAAAGTGTCAGTCGGTGTTGCCGACAGATATATACCCTCAGCCTATGGTTTGTGAAGGTTTTCGGAATTACACGCGGTTTTTATTATTCGCTTCATATAAGTTATATTTTATTATCAAAGAGGTTTCCGATTTAATGTTGATCAAATCGGTTATCCGTAGGTACCAGAAGGAAAAGGCGGGCGGTTGCCAACTACAGACTTGATGTAGGCTTGGTAAATATAATGTTAGACGGGCATTTGTAAATCGACTCAAAATTGTCTGAAACGGATTTGGTCCAAAAAACATGGGGTCTAAACCCAATATTTCGATGAGGCACATTTTTGGCGTAGCAAAGTGTTAACCCTCATAACGAGTATAAATGTGTCCAAATATTAAAAAAATTTTAAAATATTTCACATTCTTATTAAAAAATACATACATATTTGCTTTATTTCAATATTCAACAAATGAAAAAATATGTTCTGTCATATATTTTTTTCAATTTTTTATAACAAAAAAAAAATTATAAAAAAACAGCTATGTAGGTAGTGACTGTCAACTATATAAAACATACGCAGCAAGTGGTTGTGTTTATTTTTCAAACCAAACTAAAAACGGGAAAAATTAATGAAAGGCATGATTTCTTCCCTAAATCCAGTAGGAAATACCATGAAATGTTTGATTCATCCCAAACAGAGTATGTAATTACTTCCAGACGAAAGCGGTAATAAATAATATTCATTTCATTTTATTTTGAATATATTATAATTAATTTGACAGATATTTAAAACAATACACACACATACACAAAATGTGTATTGTAGTGTGTCACCATCACATTATGTTGCCATGCATTTTGATGTTCAGTATTTTGTTTTGTTGAGTTGGTCAGTGCCACAACGAGTTCATTGCTTTCATTGTTTCTTTGTTTTCAAAGCGCTACTCATATGAAGTTCATTGCTTCATGCTTACTCATATGTTGGGCGACAGTTTAGAGTTTCCAATTGGAAACTCAAATAATATTGTAATGAATCAGAGTTCGGCCAATGGGAATGAAGAATATCCCAATAGTAAATTTGATTGAGTGAAATTCCAAAATATGAGTATGAATAAAAATATGAAATGCATGACAACATGTGTAAAAATATCACATACACACATACAAATATACTTCACTGTAAAATAGATTTGTAAGAACTCTTTTCTGATTGTTTAACAGAAAAGAGTATTGAGTGATATCTAGATTTAAGAATTTTTGTTAGAATTAAGAATTTTATTATAAATACGAAAAGGAAAAATAAAGAAGTCAGACTTGTGCTGACATCCATCAAACTTACTCTATCAGCAAGCCAACAAAACATAAAAGTAACATATTACATGGCGATCCTGCCAAATCTTGCTCTCTAGTCAGCAAGTATCCTGCGTTCCATCCGCAGTTCCTGCGTTCTATCCGCAGTTAAAAAAAAAATCAGCCGCAGATCCTTGCTAGACATTTTTGAAGACACTGCCATACTGTCCGGGCAGTCCGATCCAAGCCGTGGATTAAAAACAGATGTCGGGACCGCAGCCACTAATGATTGACGAGTATAGAAGAAGAAACAGGCTAAATAGTGCAAATGAGGATGAAATAAAGATCCCGAAGGTGACCAGACCGAGGACGAGAGGAGGTTACACTTGGAGGCTTAAAAAGGAGAGAGCTCTCCTGACACGTGAAATAAATGCCGATCCGCCACCTCCCTGGGAACGTACTTCCAGGCTCTGGATACGCATCGATGAAATAGATTTCCTCTTGAGGAACTATCTCAGCACTAGGAGTTAGAAAAATAAATAAAACGCTGCATCAATCTGCAGACGTTAGGACCAGTAAGCGCGTTGCGCTCGTGGTCAACAGATTATATATATTTTTTTTAAATAACAATAACAAAACCTATGACTTTATTAAAAATTAAATAAAAAAAAAATATTATTAAAATAGAAAAAAAGGAAGAACTATGAGTTTATAAAAACAAAAAAAAAGGGAAAAATAGGACTATATTTTGATAATTATGGGAAGTACCCAAACAAAAATAAGCGAGGTGATACAGGCTACGGCCAATGCACCAACAGCCGTTAGTATTAGCATTGAGGTACTAATATTAGTTTGCATAATAATAACTTTGGTGGTTATTATTAAGTACTTAAAGAAATATGTAAAGAAGCAAACACGTAAGCAACAAGCTCGATTAAGCGCGTTGCAATAATTTCAAAAATATATTAATGATTAATATCGTATATTGTAAAAATGATTAATATTGTAAAATTGTAATAGCAATAAGTCCACTCACACATCACTGATTTGGTACCATGGATAAGGTTTTACAATCGTTAGAAATTTTGTTGTCGAATGCTAAAAAATCATTAGGCAAGCCTTATACGAGGGAAACAATAGAGAAAAAGAAATTAGAAATTGTAAACCTACAGACGGATTTCAACGAGTTAGTAGAAAAGGAAAAATTGGAAGATTCAGTTAAATATAAGACAAGATTTAGCGAGTTAAAAGCAAAAGTTTTAAGTTTGTTGTTAGAACACTCAGAGTTAGCTCAACAGGTTAAAGAAAAGGATACAGTAAAACAAGAAAACAAGATGGAGACTAATGATTTAAAGACTATCGTTGCTTTAGTACCGGTTTTTACAGGCAAAAAAGAAGATTTGGAAAGTTTCACTGCTAACCTAGAGTTAGTATACGAAACAATTCCTAATGAAAAGAAAGAATTCTTCTTTAAATATGTTTTTTGCTCAAGGTTAGATAGTCGGGTCCAGAATAGAATTAAACAGAAAGGAATACCAAAGAATATCAATGATTTAATATCTGCCTTGAAGACGGCCTATAAGCCCGTAAAGTCATCCAATGCTGTTTTGAATGAGTTGTCTGGTTTAACTCAAAGAAACAACAATTTGCAAGGTTTCGCTAATAAAATAGAAAGTCTTGTTTCTGAGCTCAACGAGATTCAAATTTCTGATTTAGGTGAGCAATGTAGGGATGCAATTATAGCTACTAATAACCTGACAGCATTCAATACGTTCTTGAATGGACTTCAGGATCAACAGATTGTTTCAACTATTGAGGCTAGTCGTGTATCGACATTTGCCGATGCTTTGCGAATTGCAGAAAGATACGTATCTCGTACAAAACAGAAAGATGTGATGTACCATAATGCACAAGCTAATAGGGATAATAAACATGGTAAAAAGAAATATTACAATAACGGCAATAATAATAACAAACGATACAACAACAATAACGGTAACAATAACGATAATAATGGCTACAACCGAAATAAAGGGAATAAAAACAACAAAAATTATAACAAGAATGGACGTAATAACAACAATAATAAGAAATAATAGGAACAACAATAACAACTGGAATAAGAATAATAATAATAATGGCAACAGTAATAGAAACAACAATAACTACAATAGTAGGGATTATAATGTTAACCAGATACAAGATCAGGGAAACTTTCAAGTTCCGGAGACCCCAAGACCTTCGTCTTCGGAGAACACACAATAAAAACAGAAACATTTTCAGTATATCATCTAACCTCAAAAATTACGTGAGATTGAATATAATAGATGTAGATTATCCACTCACTTTCTTGATTGATACAGGTGCAGATATTTCTTTATGTAAAGAAAAATTTTTGTACCGATATGAGGAAAATCCAGATGAATACTGCAATCTAACAGGCATTTCGAGGGAAGTTATTAAATCTTTTGGGTCAACTAAAGTTAAAATAGATATAAATGGTATGGTTATTGAACATAGTATCCAGCTAGTATCAAATGATATTCCACTTAGTACAGATGGGATTTTAGGTAGAGATTTTCTATCAAAGTATAAATGTAATGTTGATTATGACAGGTATATCCTAACCTTTAATTTAAATAGTGAAAGCATCACAATTCCTATACATGATAGTTCTTTCAAAATTAATCAGGTAGTTGTGCCAAAGAGGAGTGAAATCATTCTACCTTTTACCATCAATTTGGTAGAAGACGCAGTAGTATTAAATAGGGAAATTACGAAAGGTGTGTTTTTAGCTAATTCTATAATTCCGAAAGATGGAAATAAGCATATCAAATTACTGAACGTTACTGACCAAGACATGACGATAGATCATATGAAATTAGAAACAGTTCCTTTGAGCAATTATGATATACTTACAGTCAACCATTGTTACTTACACGGTAGTTATACTGACGAACGTTTTGAGAGGTTAATAAGCAAAATTAATTTGGATGATTTAAGCGAAAGTCATAGGAAAGAAATTGTAACTATATTGAAGAAATATCAGTCGACATTCCATCTTGAAGATGAAGATTTAACGACGAACAATTTTTATAAGCAGAAAATTAACCTAGAAGACAAAAGTCCTGTTTATATAAAGAATTATAGATTACCACAAGCACATAAAGAAGAAATAAATGCTCAAGTACAAGATTTTTTGAAGAGTAGAGTAATTGAACCGTCAGTTAGTCCTTATAATGCACCATTGCTATTAGTTCCAAAGAAAGGGCAAACAGATTTGAAGAAATGGAGATTAGTTGTTGATTTTAGGAAACTTAATGATAAGATTGTTAATGACAAGTTTCCATTAACTCGTTTGGACGATATTTTGGATAGATTAGGTAGAGCGAAATATTTTTCAACGTTAGATATGACTAGTTCTTTTCATCAGATTGAACTTGATTGTAAGTCGAGGCCACTAACAGCATTTTCAACACCCAATGGTCATTATCAATATACGAGATTACCCTTTGGTCTCAAAATATCATCTAACAGTTTTCAACGCATGTTGACTATAGCTTTATCTGGTTTAGAGTCTGAAGCATTTCTTTATGTTGATGACATAATAGTTTTTGGATGTAGTTTCAAACACCACAATGAGAATCTCATTAAGGTACTTGATAGGCTGAATAGATACAATTTGAAACTAAACCCTAATAAGTGTTGTTTTTTGAAATCAGAAGTAGTTTATTTAGGTCACTTGATAACTCCTAATGGAATTAGACCAGATCCTTCAAAATATGATGCGATAACAAAATATCCGGTTCCGAAGAACGCGGATGATGTTAGAAGATTCGTTGCATTTTGTAATTACTATAGACGTTTCATTAAAAATTTTGCAGAAATAACTACATGTTTGAATTCATTATCTAAGAAGAATACTAAATTTGAATGGACAGAAGAATGTCAAAAAGCATTTGAGACACTTAAAAATAGGTTGATAACACCACCAATTTTACAGTATCCAGATTTCGATAAACCTTTTATTTTAACTACTGATGCTTCTGATTTCGCTTTGGGTGCAATACTATCGCAAGGTGAGATAGGAAACGATAGACCAATAACTTATGCGAGTCGTTCTTTGAACAAGCATGAGAAAAATAAGCCGGTTATTGAAAAGGAATTATTAGGTATACATTGGGGAATTCAATTTTTCCATCCTTATCTTTACGGTAGGAAATTTATAGTGGTTACGGATCATCGTCCACTAGTCTCATTGTTTTCTCATAAGAATCCAAGTTCCAAATTGACAAGAATTAGATTAGAATTATCAGACTATGATTTTGAAATTGTGTATAAAAAAGGAATTAATAATACTAATGCTGATGCACTTTCACGTATAAAAATAGACTCCGATATATTAAAAACAATGATACCTCAGAATATTGATGAAAAAATTAAGAAATCGCTGGTGATAACACGAGGAATGAAAAATAAATTGCGCAATATTATAAATAAAGAAAATGAGATGACATATCCTGATGAGCCTGATCAACTCAAAGTATTGGAATGTACATCCATTAAAGATATAAAGCTAGCTAAAAAATTAAAATTTATAATTAATGAGTCGACAAAAGAATTCACTTTTCTTGATAATCATTCTGTGAACGAATTGGCCATAAGATGTAGCGATAATCCTTATTATCTAGATAATATTTTGGAGAAACTATCATCTGAGTTAAGCAGATTGAGTATTAAGAATTTCGCACTTAGTAAAAGTGACGAAACATTTGAAATAATAACCCATGGGAAATTTAAAGAAAAAATTAATAAATATTTGAAAAATAGTGACGTCAGAATTCTTTTATATGAAAATCCTCGAAAAATCTTTAATGAAAAAGAAAAATATGAATTGATAAAATTATATCATGATACACCATGCGGAGGTCATTTTGGAGTAAGAAAAACATTATTAAAACTTAAACAAAAATATATATGGAAGAATATGTGCAAAATGGTAAAGAAATACGTATCTTCATGCGATTTGTGCCAAAGAAATAAACAGATTAGACATACCAAAGAACCATTAATGAAAACTGATACGCCATTAAGCAGTTTTGATACAGTGGTAATTGACACTGTAGGACCGTTGAGACCCTCAGATAATTATAGATATATTTTAACTATGCAATGTGAATTAACAAAATATATAATAGCAGTACCAATGCACACAAAATCAATAGCTAGAAGTTTAAATGAACATTTAATATTAAAGTACGGAATATTTAAGACTCTAAAATCTGACAGAGGCTCAGAATTTGTATCATGGTCCGTATGAAGTAATCAATATTGAAAATTTAAATGTAACTATAAGAATTAATAACAAAGAGAAAACATTTCATAAGAATTTGTTAAAGAAATATCAAAACTAATCTTAAGCCAAAATATTTTTAAACAAAACACTTAATATGTATGAATGTAGCCAAAAAAATATTTTATTACCAAATACAAAAAAAAAAACAAGAACAAAGAAAAATACTTAGCCCACTTAAGATCATATTCAATGAAAACAATTATGTAATTATAACTACTTATAAAAAAAACGAAAAAAAGAAACAAAAATTATGTGTTACTTGAAACCTAAAGAATTTGTCATAAAATGCACACAATTTGTTTATGCACACAAAAAAA